ATTGACACAATACTATAAGTAAATTGCAAACCTACCTCATGATGGTTTAGCATAATGTGTTATACATATGTGGGTTCTAATGTACAGTATGTGTGTGAGAGTCAGTTGCTTAAGTTAGTTGCTAGAACTAACTCTTCCAGAAGAGCCTTCTCAAACAGAGCCTAGATTTGTTCTCCTTAAGTTCATCAGTGGACAATTGGAATAACCAGCATTGTATCTCTTAATTCATTTTACATGAATTGCAGGCTGTGTATAAATGAAATATTCTAATCTGCCCTTTTCTCCTCCTGTTTTTCAGCTGAACTCTTTTTAGATGTTGGTCATGAAGAAACTGCTGATTGCTTTCCTAAACATTTGGTGTCTTTTATACATTCTGTGGGCCAGTAAACACAGAAACTTGGCTGGACAAACCCATAAGAAATTCTTGTCTAGTAGCACAGATGAAGCTCTTCTCGGCAGAGGTGGCAACCAGTTTGTATCTCTCAGTGGCCATATTTTGTCCTCTTATCATTAGCTGGTGCTTCCTTATCTTGAAGAGCCCTTTGCTTTCCCTGATATCTCAAAGCTTGTTTTTTGTTTTTACATAAAGGAGTTCCTGTTTTCATAGCCCTGCTACAGGTTCGTGACAGACTCAGAATTAAACTTCAGAAACTCTTTAGAAATCTGTCTTTTCCTCTCTCTCTCAAAAGAATGTCATATTGTATTATCCTAAAGGAAAAGAATGCCTCTTATTTGTGGTTATTTATTTACAGCATTGTAAATCAAGCATGTACCATCAAATGCCAATGAAAATTGTTGAAAAATCAACCTTAAAACTCTCGGCAGCAGCTCATAAAACAGCACTTGGCAGGTTTTAGGTAGTTATGGTTAGAATGACACTCCTTTAGGGAGTTAAATTAGCCACAAGGACTAATGGTTAAGTACAGAGTGATAGATGAGGGCAAAAGCTGGGCAAGGCAATTTTGCATTGGTGCACACTTAATGTCTTAGCACTTTGAGAATTGGTTGGCTAAGATTAGCAAGAAAGAACTTGACCCAGGACTGGGATGAATAAACATGGCTCTTTGACACATCCAAATCTTCTGCTGCCAAGACATGACAGGAGAAAGAGAAGGAAGGCTCTGCTGGGCTATAAAAATGAACTTTCAGTGGCAATAAGAGGCTAGATTTTATCTACATGAATGCTGTACATGAATGGATCTGAACAGTAGTCACTGTAAGATTTTCCCTGGCTCGCTACAAGTCAGTTGCCAGTCAGGGTTTTGTATGTTGTCAAATTTCAAGAGACCTCCTTCCTTTAAAGAAATATGTATATATCTTAGCTGTATGTATAGTATTTCTTCATTCATCATCATCATCTTGATTTCAAAGGAGTTATAAAAATAACTTGCAGATCATGAGGGAGGTATATTATTAATATCATATAGTAAAGCTATGTTTTTTCAAACTAGGCAATTTTAAGATGTGGACTTCAAGTTCCAGAATTCTTCCTTGCCAAGTTTGAAAATCCATGTACAAGACCATAAATCAGCCTTGTAGATGTGTTGGGATTGAAATTCCTGTTCCCAGCCAGAATGGCTAAAAGATGTGAACTCTTTAGACAATGACATCTTGAGTAAAGTTTCTGAGTTATTCTTGATCACATTAAACACTTGCAGACATATATCTTCTGAGCATCTGCTGGGATAATAATTTTATTGCGCTGAACATAAGAGGAGGGTTTTTGTTTTCGCAGACTAAGTCTGCTATTTAAATGATGTTCTCTGGAAAGAAGACAGTCTATCAACAAAGAGCACTGATAACAACTATTTAGGTAGTTATAAATAAAACTTTGCAGAAGATTGATACCCAGCTTAAAAGAACCTGTGCAACATTAGCAGATGTCCAAAAAATGGCAGAGGAAAAAAACCCCAAGGTGTTGGGATCCTATCCAAAAAACAGGATGGAAAATAAAATTATCTGAAAAAAGATCCAAAAAGACAAATGAATGAGCTCATCCATTATGGAACCAGACCTCAATAGCTTAAAAATTCAGGTGCACTGATTTATAGCTATATTGAGCTAGGCCTGACATCTATTGCCAATAACTTAATCCATTGCCAATTGACCAAGTTGATATGACAGTTACATTAAAAGAATTTGAGGAGGGGAGACTAAAAATTGAGATGTGGAAAATCTATCAGTTTGTGTATCCATGGCCTTTCCCCCTTCCCCACTTCCTTAATTAATGCTAATCACTATCAATTAGTGATTGATAATAGAATCTGGAAACGTCAGCTCTGCCTTCATCCCAAATTTCATCTGTCCCAAATTATATTCAGTAGTCATTACTGATTTGATAAAATTGTCTCACCTGAATGATTTTATGAGAATGATGACTGTTCCCGATTCTCCTGACCTCTTGTCCTGATTTAATTGACACCCAAAGCACTGCTATCAATGACAATTAACTGAATGCAAACATAGCATTTTCTCTGTAGATGTTTTGGTTTCTTTGTCAAGCAGGCTTTCTGGGACATGCATGGATCTTTCAGGAAATTAGCCTCCCTTTAGAAAAGTGAGTGACCATAGATAGAACACTTTCAATAAATATAGATATATCTCTGATTTTTCCATTACAAGTATTTTGTGACCTCTATAATGGATCCCTCAAAAAAAAAAAAAAAAAAAAAAAGGAACAGTAGCCCTATTTGGTAAGCCAGAAAGAGACAAAGGAAGTGGAAATGAAGATAGAATTTTAAGATTCTTTGCCTTGAAACCTCAACTTCATGGAAGATGTTGAGAACACTAGATATGCTACACAGTGTTCTTGAACCATTATTCTTCTAAACTTGCCACGTCTCTCCTGAAGCAAGGTAATTTGGGGTGCAGTTGGGTCAGTGCAGTTCAGTAATAGCTTTTTTGAACAGTGGATGATGAAACTGAACTGGCAGTGAACTTCTGAAAGCAAACCAGGTGTTGTTGAGCCAGGACCAAAAACATGAAAGATCAGAATATGATGCACATGTGCTTTCAATGCTTTTAAAGCAGCCCAAAGGTTTGACACAATATTTCTGTATCGTAACATCAACTGTTCTTATCTTTTAAACACTTGAGCATAATTCTGAAATAATTTTACTCCACATGTCTTAGGGTTTTGGAAATATAAAGAATCTCTATGTAGAAATTATAGAAACTACTTGTTGCTATAAGCAAGCTCATTTCTATTACCTGCTAACATTAATTCCCTAAACACTTCTTTATGAACGTCTGGGCTATCAGCCCAAACCTAATTAAGTGTGCTTAAATCCTATGAAATCAGCGGTCTTTTGCATGCTTAATTTGATTGCTGTTTGATTGTATCTCCAATATTGAGAAACAAGCTAAGCAGAACGTGCATTTGAAATCAACAACTTTTGGAATCAAAATTTGTTTCCAAACTGGCATGAGGGATTTTTAAAAAGTTGCTTATGTTATTAAAATGGCCATTTCTGTTGAAGCAAAGACCAGCAAATTTGCCGATAAATAACCAAAATTCAGTTCTGCGCATACTTCTGATGCCTAAATTTATGACAATAGAAGGATTAAACTCAAGGAAAAGAGGGAAAAAATCACACAAATGTTTAGATTTACTTTTCATTGCCTAGAAATCATTTGGCAGTATCCAATCTGTTCATCTAAGTGGAAGTTCAGAAATGTCCAGACATAGTTGTCTTCAGGCACAGAAAAGAATGAAACAACACAACATCAATTCTTTCTCTGTATTTTATACTTGAAGGACCATCTCCACCTGGTTATTTCTGCCATCCAATTGATCCGGGTGGACATTCTCCAAATCCCATGCTATCTGAGGGCCTCCAAAAAGTATGCCTTTTCTGCCTTAGTCTTTATCTCTATCTCTATCATCTCTATCTCTATCTCTATCTCTTTTTAAAAAAATTTTTTTTATTGAAATTTATTATAATACAATACAATACAATCAATCAGACAGTGTTATTTTTCTACACAGGTTAGATAGATTCTTCTTTTACATTTCATTGTAATATAACGTAATTTACATATGCATCTTAAAATTTATATCAATTTTTATCTATTCTTTATTCTATTATCAATCCACCTGTACCGATCATCCCACACCATATAATATTCTGAGTCTTCTTTCTCATTTAATTCTAACATTAATTTGTTCATTTCAGCCCATTCTAGAACCTTCTGAATAATGTGTTCCTCTGGTGGTGTGTCCTTTCCTTTCCAGTATTGAGCATAGGCTATTCTTGCTGCAGTGAGTATATGTATGATTAAATATCTCCCCCCCTCCCAGTATTTCGTCTCTAGTATTTCCAGGAGAAATGTTTCAGGTATCAATTCATTTTTTTCATTGGTTGAGTCTTGCAGCCAATTTTGAATTTTTCTCCAATACTTCATCGCTTCGGGACAGGACCACCACATGTGAAAGAAGGTACCTTGGTGACATCCACACTTCCAACATTTGGGGCTTACATTTGGATAGATTTTTGCTAATCTCGCGGGTGCTAGGTGCCATCTGTATAGCATTTTATATTGGCTTTCTTTGTATATTGCCGCTTTTGTTAAATTATAGTTTCTATTCCAAATAATCTAGAAACTATAGAAGCTCTACCTTTATCTCTATTGTTCTTCTGGGGATTAGGATGGCCCGACCTTACTGACCATAGTTTGCATTTGCTCCTGAAATCCAGAATTAATACTCTTAGTTGTGCTTCTCTACTGAATTAAATTTGAAGATGCTATAAACTTGGCTGGTGTCAATATTTAGTTATACCACAAAATTAGGGTATTCAAAAGAAAAGTTGTAACAATGGGGGCAATTTCAGTTGGTCTCATAGACCTTCTATATTCGTATTCAGGCCATCATAGAGAAGATGTCAAGATCCCCAGGTGACTATGCCCGAGAATAGACAGTCTTGTCATGAGTCTGTAAACATGAGTATATTTTTTTTATCCCCTCTCTTCAAAAAGGAACCACGAGATCCACACCAGCCTTATTTTGTATAGTAACATTTATTCTTTGGGTTGTTCCTTCCACATATTAGTAATTTTGTTGATACTGTTATTCACTTGAATTTTTTAAACAAAACAAAACTGAAAACATCTTACAGAAAAGTTTGGCAACACAATTTATTTTCACAAAATAGTTAATAGCAGAATAATTTACAATAGTATGAACTAAAGCGAAGCGCTTACTCTCTGTTTTTATTTTAAAAACTCACATTGTTATGAGGAAATCCAGTAGGTTGGTTGTCAAGGCCATAAATGTGGGGAAATCTCTTTTGCATAATGATGTAAATCATTCAAAAGTAAACTTCTGCTGTTCATACAGTCATAACATACAGTATATTTCCTGCTTTTTTCATGTCAATGAAAACACTCCCTAAAAAAGTAAATATATATATATATTTGTGTACAAAATATATATATTTTTCATATCAAATCACTTTAACTATACAGTTTAGAAATAACCATCATCACAAAATGCTATGATACATCAAGATGCATTCTACAAGTTACATCAAGGCAGATACCTGCTACTTTATATTAGTGCAATTGGAACTGGCTACACTTGAAGATCAACCTGCATACCTGAAAGTTAGCTTCATCAAGGGTTGGTTCCCCTGTCCCTCTTGCATTTCTAGGAACTTCCCTCTACGTAGAGGGAACGCAATGGGGGTAAATCTTCTGTAGCCTATATCCACTGCTTCCACATGTACAGGATGGCTACATGCTTTAGAACAGGGGTCTCCAACCTTGGCAGCTTTGCTGGCTGAGGAATTCTGGGAGTTGAAGTCCACAAGTCTTAAAGTTGCCAAGGTTGGAGACCCCTGCTTTAGAAAGCTTCTTTTGGAAATTTTGCACAATTTAATCCCCACTTATCTTCCCCATATAAGGAACCCTACATAATGCCCTCCGCGCTCATGAAATTAGAAGTGGTCGATTTAGAGATGTGATAGGTTTTGTTTAAAACAGAAAGATTTGAATTATCCACAAGGTTACCTAACCTTCCCAATGGAGTTTAGGATTAAGACCGAAACCTGGTTGATTTTGCAATCCACTTTAGATTTAATACTGAAATCTGGCTTACTTTGATTGGTTATACTGCAAAGAGTCCAGAAAACTAGCAATACAGTCTTAAAAGAATTCTGTGCAGACTATATGAACATGTAAAGGTCTTAATTCATTCTTATCTGCTCTTCTGCTGGGAGTTCTGTAAACAAAGAACACCTTGTGGATATATAAACCTGACAGTATCAGGTAAAAGTAGGCAACATTCTGGTGGATATTGAACATTTCAGGGAGTCTAAGGACCTCAGTGTTGAAGGGGTCACAACATGATTGCCACATGATGGAACCATGCCCTGACCATCAAATGGTCAGGGCAGAATAGGAGGGAAGGGCTGTCCCTTGTTCTTTTCGATGGGATATTTCTATATTAGGAATTATATTACCATTTTCATGTTTTTTACATTTGGAAGGGGTGGGAAGGATGCTTTGCATTTTTGGCAATTATGGTCAAGAGGGATTTAAATACTGCCCAAAAAGATTTAAAGACTGCATGGGGTACATGTCACCCACTCCTTGTAGAGAGAGAATTCCATTCCAGGACCCAGATTGTTGGGGGCAATATGCTGACTCTGTAAACCGCTTAGAGAGGGCTGTAAAACACTGTGAAGCGGTATATAAGTCTAGGTGTTATTGCTATTGCTATCAGGTGAGACATGAGGAATTATACAGCGATTCTGCCTTGTCCATATCAGCTAACATATACTGATTTTTCCTTTTTTCCCTTTCATTGGCTATAACTGGGCTGGGGAGAAAAACAAGATTGGAGGTTAAATGATATTTTCTCAAAACTAGGTTTACAATTTAGTCTGGATATTGTTATTCAAATGTAACATTCAAGCAATTAAAGGAAAATAAGCTTGGTTTCAACCTTGCTAAACTAAATTCTAGCAATCAACTTTTTTCTCTAATTTTCTTTTACCACTCAATATAAACTATTTGGGGCTTTACTGTTGTTTACATAGGGGAGGGAACCTGATTAGAACATTTTTGGATGGTTGAAGAAAAATTTGATATACCTCCATAAAAACTATTTTATACAATTCACTTGACTCAATGGCAGTCAAATCTAGAGGTTTAAAATGTTGTTTTTAATGCCTAATTTAGCATCTATTTTAACTTTAAATTGAGTCAGTGCCACAATTGTTTGTCTGCTGTGTACCCCACATGTTTTTAATTCAGGCTTTTCACTTTATATAATATATAGATTTCATTATGCCATTTTTCCTTCATTGAAATGGGGATTGCCTTCATTTGATACATTCCATACCAAAATAAAAAACATTTTGGATGCATTAAGGCAATAACGGTTTCCGTCGTGGAAAGTTACAGAGCTCCAATGTAAATAATAAACTGAAGCATAGATTGACTTGGTACCAAAAAAAGTGAGCTGCTTTGTTTACTTACATAACAGTTTCAATAAATCTAAAGGAGACTTTAAAAGGAAGGGATCTACATTGGATTTATTGATAGCTTTGCTGCAACAAGAACAACTTAAGCTGTCAAAGGATACGTTTTCATGTAAAAAAAAATTAAGCACTATATAAAGCTAAGAAGAGGAACATTTTCATAGGTGAGATTTAATTTCTCTGTGAGCTGCTATCTTGCTCTCACACTCAACAATAATAAGAGCCAAAACAGCAGTCAGCCGGAGGAGAGGCACTGTATTTTAAAATCGTTTTGAGAGACAACAACATCCAGACTGCAAAGCACCTCAAAGAGAGGCTGCTTCACATCTTCTATAAATGTCCTTGCTGTTCGAGCTCTTCTTAAAACGAATGAAGTTTATTTCTTTTTTAAATCTGGATCTCAAGCTCTTGAAGCCATAATATTGCACTTATCAAAATAATTCTATGGGTAACAAAACATAGCAATTTGATTTCACTTGAGCAAAGCAGAGTATTGCTTGGTATCAATCAATTTTTCTTTCATGGTAAAATATAGCAATTTCACTTTAGATATTGCTGGGTCTCTAATTCAAATAAATCAAAAGTTTGAGGGCTTTTATAACATTATTAATATGCTTTCTGACGTCAGCTTCGAACGGTCAGGATGCACTTGGAACTACATGCAAGGTTAAGTGTTGGGTTATTGACATTTTGAGGCACAGATGTCTAAAGCTATGCCCACGTTGTAGCTTACTGTAAGAAAGCAAGGCACTTATTGTTATAGCAATGCAGATGGTTAATGTGCAGCTTGATTAATACAATAAAATAAGTTAATAATTTGACTTAAAAAGAAAAAAGCAGGGAATGTCCCTCCATATTTGACAAGTTATTTAAGAAACAAACTATTTAGCCTGAGAGAATATTTCTTGATCACTGTACCATAACAGAACACAATTAATTGGGAATAGCTTTTACATCACAAACAAGAAAATGAACGAGAACCACACAACCTCCTCAGGATCATTTTGCTAGTGCTTGCTGGTGAGACCTTTCCGATGAGCTACACTTATTCTTATTCGTCCTTACTGTCACAGACTACAATAGGAGCTTCAAGCCCTATTCTAGATCTTTTGTGATCTTACAAGAAAACGAACAGCATGAAAAAAAATCCACACAGAGAAAGTTAAGTAAATCACTTTTTCTCTTAAAATGGCATTGGCACCAGTGGAACTTTGACAGTCTTCACTTCTGATATGTGTGAAGATTTCTGAATGATGCAGCTGGTTGTACCCTGCAGTTTGTCCTTTCCCTGGGCAAGATTGGTTAAGGCCATTGCTGCATTGATCTCCTTCCAATACGTCTCGTCTTTGCTTGATATTTTCCTGTTCACTGCACTGGAAACAAACATCAAGAAATGTTTCCATGCTTGTTAATTATTATGATACTCATGCACTCAAACAGTGAAACAATACTTGTCTCCATTAGGCATATAAAAATCTGTTTGTTTAAAAAAGAATTTCCTACAGAATGTTCAGGAGAAGGGGAAGAATCCTGCCTGTCTCTCCTGGTGCATCTTTGGCCTGTTTTAAGAACAGAGATGGTATCTGTCCTCTTGATAGGACTGTACCTGAGTGGGGCAATAGGATTAGAAGGGAACATTCTTCCAATTAAGATTTTTTCCTAATCTATTGAAATTTCCTGTCTCACATTACGACATCCTCACTCATCCTTAACCTTCCCATTGACTTGTTCTTGTCAAGTCAATACAGGCATACAGACATAGTTCCCTCCCGCATTTGTGCACACTAACCTGGTTCACACAAGACACAATTTTACTTGGTTTATTGGATTAGCTACAATTGTTTGGGCTAATATGACACACCGAACAAATGAAAGACTTGGGGAATGCAGCACCCTCTCTGAGACTTCTCAGCACCTCAAAATTCTACTGAACCAAAGAACTGTTGACTTTCTAACATATAGCCTCAAAACCACTGTTTCTCAGGGTTAATGGGATTTAAGAATAAGAATGCCTCTCTCTCCCATTTTTATTATTTTTATAAATAACTCAAGGCAGAAACGTATCTCCTTTCTTTTCCTATTTTGCCCCAACAACTGTGTGAGATGAATTGGGCTGAGAGAGAGGGACTGGCCCAAAATCAGCCAGCTGGCTTTCCTGTCTAAGGCAGGACCAAAACTTGCAATGTTCTGGTTTCTAGATTAGTGCCTTTACCACCAGAACAACTAGCTCTCTTAGCCTGACTTCCCCAACCCCAAAACTGGTGCCAGCCCCTGTCATCCCATGAGATCCAATGGCCTTTCAATATCTTGAATCTGGGTCAACAGCCTTCTCCCATTGTCCTTTCCCTATGAGTGGCTCTGTAAAGTAGCCTCTTCATTCAAACTGATGGAGACTTTTTACTGAATTGAATAAACAAGGGAAGGACTGGAGAGTAGAATTCTTGAATAGCTTAACTCAACATCTATTAAGTTTCACCTAACTTTAAGAATATTTTGCTTGTTTATTTGAAATGCTGTTAAGTGCCACCTTCTGTTTTGATTCCTCAACACAGCTTTCCAAGACTTTTTTAGAAAATAATAAGGGTCAGTAGGTGCAGCTCAGTACTTCATTTAAAAGAGTGCCATATAGAAGCTAATGAACCATCCCCATATTCCAAAAAGTTGAAGGGTAGCAAGAAGGAACTTCCCCAGTTGGCCCATAGGCTTCCAGTCCAAGCAGAAGAACGAGTCAAGTGCTAAACAGAGGAGAACACCATGTGGACAGCAGAGGCATGCAATGTTTCTCAACCTTGGCAACTTTAAGATGTCTGGACCTCATGCTGGCTGGGGAATTCTAGGAATTAAAATCCAGACATTTTAAAGTTCCCAAGATTGAGAATCACTGCCCTAAAGGCTCTTCACAGGGTAGGAATGCCAATATTTTTTTTCCTGCTGGAGTCCATGTATGGTCAATCACTTTCTTTCTTGCTTATCCACCACTTTGACAAGTTTGCCTTTTTTCCCCTTCCTAATTTTAGCTTACGAAGTGAGGGAATTGCTGCCATCAAAGTTTTCCATGTCTTCCGAGTTTGTTATCTTTCTGATGAAAACAGGATGAAGTCCATGACTTCTGCTTCCAACAATCTCTACTTATATTTGCTTTTGAACTATTCAATAAGCAAAGGAAAATTTTACTCACCTTTCACGCTTGTTAGGTCCATTCTCCAGAGTTTCTGAAAAAAATAAAGAATAATTTTTTTAATTTCCATTTTTATAACATTTTAGCACTAGTATATTTTTTAAAGCAACAGATGTTTAAAATGATTTTAGTAGGCTTATTAGAGTCCCTGGTTTAATGTTATGGACTGACTCCAGATTTACTGTAATTCACGTGGGTTTGAATCCAATCCAATGATTTCATTTGCAGCAGTGCCTCAGATAGAAAGTCCATACAGAGAGTGGTAAGGATAGCTGAGAAGATTATAGGAATCTCACTTCTGTTTAGGATACTGCTTATAAGCGCTATGTGCTTAGAGCTCAAAGCATTGTTAGAGACCCCATACACCCACTTTACGGTCTGTTTCTGTTGCTCCCCTCTGGGAGGAGGTTTTCAAGTATTTCCAGCAGGACTACCAGATTCTATAACAGTTTCGTTCCATATGCCATCCGTCTGGTAAACTCGTAAGATTAGTTTTTCCCGTCATGTGCATGTATACATTTGAATTAGACTAGGTTGTTTCTCTGTGTCATATAATATATATGAATATATGAATAATTTTGTATTTATTTATTTATTTATCTATGTATTGTATCATTTTATGTAGTGTATATTGGAGAGCTGTATGCAACGAAATTTCATTTATTGTATGCCGATTAGTGTATTCAAAGTGACAATAGAGTTAATTCTACTCTACTCTACTCTACTCTACTCTATTCTTCCATTCTATTCCATTCCATTCCATTCCATTCCATTCCATTCCATTCTATCTGATAAATGTGTATAATCATAATATTGTGAGATTAATGCACACTCCAGTGCTAATAGCAACTTTACACATGATAAACCTCATATCAAAATTGAAGAAAATAATGCAGATATCCCTGAGGTTGTTTTTTTTTTTTTTTTTTACTATCCTTGTCGTCTTCTGAGCTACAGAAACAAAGTTCTCTAATGTGAAGCATATCTCAAAATTATTTTGCTACTAGTTCATTTCCCTATTCCAAATTTTAGATGGAAATATTGCATTGGATTGGATTGCATACTTTATTGGCCTAGTATGATTAGAAAAACAAGGAATTTGTCTCTGGTACAGAAACACTCAGTGTACATGCAAAGCAACAGAATTGGATTTGGACGAGGTCATCGGGGGTGGGGTGGGGGTAGATGTTTAAAAGTTGTGCTGCAGAACCTTTGGTACCACTTCAGAAAGTTCATTTAAAATATGTCTTGTAAAGCCCCACACAGCTGGGTAGGATGAAGAAACCAGGAACCACTCAGATTTCATTAGTGTATCATTCTAGCTACTTTGGCTAAATACAGATTTGTGGAACTGCAGTAGAAATGGGCTGGGGTAGAAAGAAGCAATGGAGAAGCATAGAAAGGTACAGTATTATTATTGGTATTATTATTAATAATACATCTTTCTCTACCTTACTTATTTGCTATATTATTACCTTGTATTTTCTCCAGGAGCTCAGTGAAGTAAGCTATGCACTGCTCTATGAGAAGTAACAGGTACATCTTGTTTGTCTCTAAGTAATACTGTGAATTCTGCAAAATCATGTCCATGAAAAAAGCAAGTAGTCATATTGTGAATCGTGGAATAACTTAGAAATAGAAATAGAATAACAGAGTCGGAAGGGACCTTTGAGGTCTTCTAGTCCAACCCCCTGCTTAAGCAGGAAACCTTATACCATTTCAGACATATGGTTATTTAATCTCTTCTTAAAAACTTCCAGTGTTGGAGCATTCACAACTTCTGGAGGCAAGTTGTTCCACTGATTAATTGTTCTAACTATCAGGAAATTTCTCCTTAGTTCTAGGTTGTTTCTCTCCTTGATTAGTTTCCACCCATTGCTTCTTTTTATTTTCTTTTACATGGCTGTTTGTTAGGTACAAGTAAAGATTATTAATATCATCCATTATTTATTTTCATTAGAGCTTTACCACATATGTATAATTTGAAAAGTGTTTGGATTCAGGGCCAATGTATTCCTGTCTCCTAGGTGATGGTAACAGTATTTTTTCTTCACTAGCACCAGTGTATATGTTGTCCTATGGATACCTGTGATAGGTGAGCCATTACATAATTTGTTTGTGGGCAAAATCTGTCATTTTGCTCAGTTACAACTAATCTATACAGTACTAAGAAACTTTCTTATTCTTCTTAGGGCAAATATTTCAAAAGTGGAAGGCCTGCTGAACTTAAAAAGAGAGCCATGAAAAACAAAAACAAACACAGCATAAATATTGAATCGCATGTCACATATCACGGACCACCAAAGGCACACATTTCTCTAACAGTTGATAATTCCTTGTTTCAATTCCATCTCTTCTGCTCATTTTCTAGTTAAAATACATTTAAATAAATAAATAGTTAAAATTATTTATTTATTTAAATATATTATAACCTCCCAGCTGCAATGGACTCTAGACAAAACCAACCCCAACCCATAAAACCAGATAAAACATGCAAACACACAGACAACCCAGATTAAAAGCATCTAAAAGTGACACAGATCAAACTAAATAAAACTACCAGGGCTTGCAACATTACAGTATGTTAAACCCAGGCCTGAGAAATTAATGCAAAACAATCAAAATGATTTTCTAGTTTCACTCAGTGTAGTTTGGATGCCTAGGACAAATTTGTTTCTTTCGATTTCACTCCAAACAGCACATGACATTCACTGTTTCTGCAGCAGTCCAGAAAATTGTTATAATCTGTGTTATTTGCACAATTACGTAACTGACATTTTTACGGTTTCCATCAAGTTATGCTACTTGCATAATTGTGTAAAGTGATACAAACGACATAAAAAATTTATGTCTTAATGACATACGTATTTATTGATATGTATAATTTAGTGGACAATTTTCATCCAAGATGATCTGTTAAATCAAAGTTTTACAGCAGACCCATTATCAGATATGAAGGTCCCAAGAAGCAAGACCTTTGTAATATCCTATACTAGCTGAGCAGGAGAGACATTAAAGAAATGATATTAAGTGTTAAATGTACTCCAGGTACAGGTGAGAAAGTTCAGTATGGGATAGCTAATGAAGCTGTGGAAGATTTCAAAAGGGTATTTTGCTTCATCAAAGTTAAATCTGAGTATCCCTTTCAAGTGATGGTTTCATAGAGAACTAATTGTCCCACTTCAGTTCAAATGATTAGCAATGCATTTGCCAAAGTTCTTCTTATTGAACCTAAGGGGGTCAATTGATTCTAGCTGGTGCTATGTTAATACTGCCAGGTGAAGCATGATGCTTGGGAGAAATCAAAGGAAGTTTGCTGTTGATCTACTTAGCCCTGGTGATCAACCTGTCGACCTCTGAATGTTATTGAAATGTAATTTCTAGCATCTCTCATCATTAGCTAGACTGGTTGGGGTTGCTGGATAGTGTCATACATTGCCTCCTTTTGGCATAGTTGAATTGTGTGTTCAATATAAACAATGCAGAAGTTGCTATTCAGCAAGCTACATCTCTCGTTTCTCTGCTTTCTAAATTTATTGTTCCATTTAGTAGAATCTGTCAGAAAATTTTGAAAAGTACCATTCAAAATGCGATCTTTTCTATAGGCCTGAGAATATCTTGTTCTTAAATTTTTTTAATAACATAATCTTCCATCTCATCGTTTTCTAGTACAGTAGAAGGGATTATTTTAGATCCATATTCATAAGATATGTTTATCAATTAACCACTTAATCTATTAAATAATGTTTATCGCCTACAAGAGTGCTATGAATTATATATGCAGGTAGTTTTTGAGTTATGTTCATAAGTGAGCCCTGTAATTATAAAATGCCCAGTTGCTGGATGAACAACTAGTGAAAGTGTCCCTAGTCCAGGTTATCTTTATACTTTTACTGGGTTAGTTGCTTGTTTCCAGCCACTCTCCAGTTTGATTTTCTAAAAACGCCTAGGAGCCTATTTAGAACCCCAAAAACAACGTAGCAACTATGATTAGCATCTTCTGTGTGACAAACATGCCATAAAGCTTTTAGTCTGCCTGTAACTGAAAAATGCATTCTTTTATTTAAAGACCAAAGAACAGTTTTATCTGTATCAAGTGAATGCCAATAAGTGACAGAGTTGTAAAAAATGGAAAGTGGAAAAATGTGAAATCAAATTAAAGGTTATAATGCCAAAAATATTTTCTAGAGCCAGTAAAGGATGTAGAAATGATTGCGTAGTCTCCTCAGAATGTCATATCCATTACTAATACCATGAAACCTATCATGAAGACAGTTGGATGAATTCAATTTCTTAAAAGTTGGAGGCCTTCATATTAGATTGATTTCAGAACATTGTGGAAGGCAGCCTCTTTGATAGTCATTTTTGAAAGTAGATGCCACTCATGTTTGATGAAGAAAATGATATCTTCCTAGAGACCTAGATGATGAAAGCAATTTTTCTGTTTTCTGTTAAAATCTCTCTGGATGTAGTATCTTTTTAACTTGCTTGTTTCTGAGATCCTTATTTTATTGGTGCCAGAAGAGTGTGATTTTCTAGTCATCACACCTCAAAAAAGAGCTATATACTGAGCTATGTTGCAATCTAACCATGTTACAAAGATGTTCCATAATATATATTTTCTTTTCTATTGTATCCCCATGGTGTTGTGTTCATGTTGTCCTTAACTCATGAATGCAACAGTTTGAAGTCATTTTTAGTTGTAACCAGTGTTACAACAGTATTTTCCTTATTATTCTAGTTCCAGGCAAGGACAACCTCAAATTAAAATAAAATAAAAATTATTTGATTTATAACGTACCTTTTATTCAGGAACTCAAGCTGGCATACCTAATAGTCTGGAATAATACCACAGTTTCTCCATATAATTCTTTTAGTCACCCCCTCATGCTCCATACAACCACAATGCATGATAAGAAGTCAGATTGCAGTCAGATACTGTATAGAATTTTGCCCCTTTCACAAACATTTCAGGAATTTAAAGAAAAACTAACCAAACTCCTGCTCTAGAATTATTTTAGAACTATTTTGAGA